GCTGTTATTCCTCTCACACAGCATGGTAACTTTTCATGTCTGGAGACTCGGAAGGAGGTTTTTAGATGACAGCATTTTCATGATGCCATTTGTCTTTCACTTCTACATTAATTAGAAGCATGCGTGCATTCAAGCGTTTTCACTGCTTTATGAATCAGGAAGATTTTCCTGAATTTATTCCAAGTGTGCAGGTTCAGATTTTTCTATGTTTTTCTTATTTCAGTAGGGACAAATGAAGGTGGGGTCACTGCTGTGATTAACTGCTCGTTGTTCTTGCTTGATGCTCCTCAGGGGCTCCTCCTTGGAGCAAAGAGTAAATAGGATGTTTTTTGTCTTGTGAAAGCTCTTTTCCCTTGAGAGCACTGACTACCTTTCAACCTGGGGGGAGAAGGGAGGGGGAGGGGGAGGCCAGCTGCCAGACTGTTAGAGGTGTAATGTGCGGCAATATCATTGAGGAAAGAATTGGTGGTTTTTTCGTTTGGCGTGGTGACAAAAATAATGGAACCGCAATTCCAACATTGCTAAATGTTGGTAACTGGAACCTCAATCATAAAAATTGGAAGAATGGAATGTGAATAGTCTGTAGAAGTTAGGTTTTTAATCATTTGATGACAGTTGAACATGTTACAAGGGTGGTTAGTGATAGGACAAGGGGGGAGGTTAAACTGAGACAGGGGAGGTTTAGGTTAGATATTAGGAGGAAGTTCATCATGCAGAGAGTGGTGAGGCACTGGAACAGGTTGCCCAAGGAGGTTGTGGATGCCCCATCCCTGGAGGCATTCAAGGCCAGGCTGGATGTGGCTCTGAGCAGCCTGGTCTGCTGGTTGGCGACCCTGTACACAGCAGGGGGTTGGAACCAGATGATCATTGTGGTCCTTTTCAACCCAGGACATTCTATGATTCTGTGTTTGTCCATTGCACTTTTAACATGATGCTGTTTGCCTGAAGACCACTCTGGCACAACAGCAGAAATGCATGAATTCTGGTATTGTTTTTTTTTTAACAAACAATGAGAAAGCCATTTCAGTGTATTGCGATTGGGTATGGCAGAGCACCTACCTGACCTGGTTTAGGAGCTAAAGTGGAGAGATTTTTTGCTCTCATGAATTCCTTGCATTTCCAAAGAAATGCAGCTCCAAACCCAACAGTCCTCCAGGTTCCTCAGCTCCTTCAAGAAATCAGTAGTGCTGTTCCCGCTTCGAATTTTTCTTAGGCTTTTCCTTATTTTCAGTTGCCATTAACCACATCTGAGTGACTTCCCTGAGCACTGTGATGCAGAAGGGGCTCTGTCCTGCGGGATGATTGGATGGTGAGGTGCTGGAGCAGCTGTCCAGAGAGGTTGTGGATGCCCTGTCCATCCCTGGAGGTGTTCAAGGCCAGGTTGGATGAGGCCCTGAGCAGCCTAGTATACTGTTGGATATGGGGAGTGGCGGCCCTGCCTGCAGTGGGGGGTTGGAACGTGCTGACCCCTGAGGTCCCTTCCTACCCAAGCCATTGTGTGATTCTGTGATGTTGCTGTCCAGGGCTGCCTTGCACGCAGGCAGCACAGCGCAGCACCCTTCAGACACAGTGTGATGTGGGGCCTACTGCCTTTCCTCTTTATGTTTTGGTATATGGCTGCCAGAGCTGGAACCCTGAAGAGATAGGCCTCAGAGCTGCTGAGTGGAGGGCTGCCCAATGACCGCGAGCAACAGAGGAGCAGCTTGCTCATTAGGTGATGCTGTGACACGTTATTGGCAGGCTAATCTGGGCAAGTATGTTCTTGAATGAGATGTATATGTAAGCATTTTAAGTGCCCCGTTAATCAAATGCTTGAATGATAAGGTCACTGCATTCTCGGGCTTTGCTCACGTTCTTTTTTTTTTCTGCCTTAATCATATTTAAACTGCGTATTTGGGGCTTTCGCTCTAGTTCGTCAGAAGCCAATAAAACCCTACCGAGGACAAGAAGGGATTAAGGATGGAGCCGGAGCTCTCCAAGCTCTCGCTAGCGGCCTGAGGCGGGCGAACACCGCAGCACGTGATCAGAGGGCGGCCGGGGGCGGTGCCAGGCTGCGGCTCGGAGCGGCGGCGGCCGCGTGAGTGCGGGGTCGGGGGCTGCCCGGGGGCCGGGGCGGCGGTGCGGGCGCCCTGCGATGGCTGCGGGGTCGCTCCGAGTGGCGGGCGACGCGGGAGAGTGCCGATGTCAGCCCTGCCGGGAGGCGCCGTCGCGGCCTTCTGACCTTGCGCTGCCCCCCGGGGGGTGAGGGAGCGGGAGGTTGCGCTCGCGGGGCTGATTCGCTCGTCCTTGCGGTGTGATGTTTGGGCTGATCGCTGTTTTGTTGCGTCGTTTAGGCGGAGAGTGAGTGGGCGCAGTGAAAGACAGAGATCCTGTGTTTCGTTCTTAGCTCTGTTCCCGGCGCCTCGGTGCGATGCCTGGTGCGCTCGGGCTGCAAAGCCTCGGAAACCCCTTTTGACTGCTTCGAGCTCTGCTGGCCTCGTTCTAATCGGAGACAGAAGCAGGCACTGGGTTCAGAATGGGGGTGTGCCCAGAGCCTCGTGCTGCTACTTGGTTGATGCTTGGTGCTGCTGCTGCTGCTTCTGCCCTGCTTGGTGGCTTGTATTGATTATCCTGTATTTCTGCTTTTAGTAGTAAATTATTCTGCTGTTGTGTGTGTGATGTGAGGAATGTGGAAACTGAAATGCGAGGAAAGCAAAAATATAGGGGGGAAATATGTCTTAATTTGAGTTTGACTGTGCAGTTCCTGCTGGAGGGAGCAATTGCTGCCATTTGCCAGGCCCACAGTTCTGTGTTTGCCATACTTTGCTGAGCATAGCAGATCTGTTGGAATTCCCCTATTTTCTCCTTTACAGACCACTTTGGTGCTTAGCTTTTCACCTGTGGACCCCAGCAGACCCAGCTGTGAGCTCAGTCTGTGGTATCTACACATAAGCACTTCTTGCAGTTCTGTGCTTCAGTGCTTCATCCCACCTGTGCAGCATCTCTGCATGCTGGTTGAGCAGAGATTTGAGTTGTCCCTGGCACATATCGAGCAGCCCATTCCCTCTGAATATCACACAGAAGATAGAAAATTGGAAGATTTTCCAAGTGTAAGAGATGCTTAAAAGGAAAAAGTAGATGAGATGTGGGTTTGTGGCATGTCTTGAAAACATTATCCAAATGGAGAGTACAGATTGCATGATTTAACAATAGTCTTCCTTTCCAAGGAAAGAGTATTGTTCCCTTGCTTGACACAGTAACTTTCTCTTCCAATCCCACCCAGTTGAGTAGAGCAGTGAAACGTGCAGGTTGGGGAGAAACCTGGAAAGAAGGCTGCTGCTTTTGACGTAGGGAGTGATTTGCAGCAGGATCTTTGCAGTGAAAGAAAGAAAAAGAATCACTAACGTTATAAAAAAAAAAAAAAAAAAAAAAAACAAAGAAAAAAAAAACCTAAATTCATGCCTTCAGAATGTTAGGAGGGTGCTTTGCATGTTGATTTTGGCATTCAAAGGACATTGCGGGTTGGCAGGGACTGCTGGTCCAACCCCTGCTTAAAGCCAGGCTGATCTTGGAGTTGGATAGGTGGGTGTATTTTGCAATCCCTAAAGGTATTTAAAAGCTCATCAAATCCTGATGAGCATGTCACTGGGTTATTGGGAGTTGTAAATGTTCTTTAAAAGGAGCTAATTACAAAGATATTTATAATCTGGTGACTCATTTCTGGTGGTATGTCTCATAAAAAAGTAATCAGCTCAAACCTGTGCTTGGGATGTGCAAGTTGTGACAAATCTCCGAAAGACGATTAGGCTCATTATGGGAGGGAAGAGAAGGGGTGAAGAAGCAGCGGTCAGAATCAACTTGTGAGAGCAGTTTTTGATCACAGAATCACAGGATGGCCCGGGTTGGAAGGGACCTCAAGGATCATGAAGCTCCAGTCACCCACCACATGCAGCCTCCCCATTTAATACCAGACCAGGCTGCCCAGGGCCCCATCCAACCTGGCCTTGAACACCTCCAGGGATGGATGGGGCATCCACAGCCTCTCTGGGCAGCTGTTCCAGCACCTCACTACTCTCATAGTGAAGAACTTCCCCCTGACATCCAACCTAAATCTTTCTTCCTTCAACTTCAAACCATTTCCCCTTGTCCTGCTGTTATCTGCCCTTTCAAAGATCAGAGGATATGTGGCAGTGCAGTCTGCCTTGTGGCAGTGCTGGCTGAGTGTTTCCACTTCTGCTTGTTCTTAGGAAAAACATGCAAGTAAATCTGTGTGTGCTGCCATGACTCTGACAACTGGAATACACAAATTTTCCAGTGTTTTTTGACACAGCTGCAGCAGGTCATGTTTATGCTGCTAAAGTAAATGTTTAAGGATAGCTGTCCTCTTAATGACATTTGTGGGTGGCAGGGAAATGAGACATCTAGAGAACCATGTTTCAATTGGTCTTCTTGACGCGAGGTGAAGACCATCAACCGACTCTTACAGCAGGGCTGAGACTTGGCTTGTTTAAATGTGGGTTAGCTAAGTACTGACAGACCAGAAAACAACTCGCTCTTATCTTGGGAATCTCTGATGGCCACCACAAAACCACACCAAAAAAAAAAAGTCTTTTTTTAGTCTTTTTTTTTGTTTTCTTTGGCTTCGCTCTGCAAAGAGAAGTGCTCCATCACTTGTGGAGGCTTTGAGGACTGGTGATGTTTGCAGAACCGAGAGCTCTGATAGTTCTGGAGAAAAGGAGGCTCTTCAGCACTGCGGAGGATGGCATTTTTTAACAGGCTGACATCTCCTTCGTTGCTGCCAGGGCTGTTTTTGTTGTGTGGGCGCGCGGAGGAGGGCAGTTAGAAGTAAAAAGGACCGAATACAGCAGGAAGACACTCACTGTGAAAAAGCGCGGCTCTAAAAACAAACCAAAAAACTTGAGCGCGGCTCCTAGCTGCGTTCTCAGCTTCACGAGCGCGGAGCGCTCGAAGCGTTAAGCCCGGATCGGCGGGGATTGGACAGCTGCTCTGGCGTAAGCGCTTCGGGCCGTCACGGAGCGCATAGCCCAGGAGGAGAGGCAGGGCGGCTGAGCCCCGACGCTGCCCGCCCGTCCCTGGGTGCGCCCCGCTCCGCCGCCCGCTGCTGCCCGGGGCTCTGCTGGCTGCCTTGGGTGAGTGCGCGCCTTCTGGAGCCGCTCGGGGTGCCCCGTCCTGCCTGCTGCTGGGGGCGGTCACCGAGGCTCTGATGGAGGGACAACGCTTTTGGGGTGGCGGAAGGTTGCGGTGTTGCTTGGTAGGGGAGGAAAGTCGGTGCGGTGCATGCCAAGGTGGCTTATGTACTGGTATGCTGGGGAAATTTAATTGGCTGATGGACAGTTGGCAGAATTATGCTCGTCGTTCTGCTGTTTCTTTACTAGAAGAAGGGTGAGGTGTGGGACTGGTGCCCGGAGAGGCTATGGATGCCCCGTCCCTGGAGGTGTTCAAGGCCAGGTTGGACGGGGCGCTGGGCAGCCTGGTCTGGTATTAAATGGGGAGGTTGGTGGCCCTGCATGTGGTGGGGGGTTGGAGCTTCATGATCCTTGAGGTCCCCTCCAACCTGGGCCATTCTGTGATTCTATCTCCCCGCTTGTTCAAATAGCAAAAGATCACACATCTGGATGAGTTTTTTGTTCAGTTAACAGAGCCCGAGGAGCCCAATTAGACCGAAGAGGTGTGTTGGCTAAGATAGTGATCTCTGTATCGAGACTACAGCTGGGTGGATGTGAAATAATGGAGGGAAGCTGGCTTTCAGCAATGCTAATGATGGCAGCACTAATGATAATGCTCATAAAAAAAAAAAGCTAAGCGGGAAGTTGCTTGTTTAGTAGTTGTCACAAACTTGGCAGCACTTTTGTACACAAATGAAATACACAGGGAAATACAGTTTTGTTTTATCGCCATCCCTTCTTGTAGCTAAGAATTACGAGAAGAGTATCTCCACTAGGCAAGATGGGAAAGAATATCTGGATCTGGGAGGGAATGGGGCTATGGCCTTTTGATGTGCCACGCAGATTGGAGCATCAGGGCGACACACTTTCAATTACATTTTGGTTGTTCTGAAAGCTGGGGTCAGGATGGTCTCTGATACAAGTTAGATGCACAAATCAAAAGATGTCCTTACAAGCACTTGAAAAAAGTATGTAGACAAAGCAGATAAGGACAAGGAGAGTTTTCCCATGTTACAAATAAGCCATGAAGTTAGGTTCTGTTATCTGCACCTTGTTTGTGTAAACTGCCCTTGTTTCCTGCTCAGGCTCGTCATCCAAAATCCCAGTCTATCTCTGGGATTTTCATGTTTCGAGGTACTGTGGTCCTGTCTTCCTCAGCACCAAGTATAGCATTATATGGCGCTACCAGGAAAAAAAATCTCTTTTTTTCAGTATACTTCTAGCTATTTCTGCAGGTAGGCAGGCAGTTCATTGTATTTGGTTCTCAGAGGCATTCCGGAACTGGTTTTAAGGATGGAAATAGAGATTTTCACCTGGAAAAATCTGGGCAATGTGTCTGACTCGAAAAGTGGAGCCTACTCCTGGTTTATACTTTCTGAATTCTAGCAGCAGTTAGCTGTGGAGACAAACATGGTGTGTGTTTCTGGTCTGTTGCCAGTCACAGTTCAAAACAGTGACGTTTTTCCTATGTTCGTAGGGGAAAAATATTATCTTCTGTTCAAAACTGTATATACAGGCAGCAATAGTCACCAAAAGAGCATGTCTGGAAATGGGGTCTTGCAGGTGGCTGTAGAAAGTATTTGATTCTCTACTGTGTAAAACTAAAGTTGAGTGACTTATGAGATCTGCAGCCCTTTGTAATACCTAACTGTCGTGATGTAAACGAGCAGTGACTTTTTACCCTGCTAAAACTTTTGTGACTTTTGTACAGTTCTTGCGCACAGCTGGAGCTTGAATTTTATCCCAGGCTAAACTTGCTTTCCTCTACCCTCTCTGGAAGGTGGCTGTCAGCCCTTCCCAGTCTTGTGAAACCTATGCAAAGGTCAGGATTGGGTACTGGAGTCTTCAGCAGGGAGCTGCTGGTTAATAAAACTGCCATGAAACCAGAGTTGTTGATAACAATGAGCAGTTAGTGCTTTTTAGATGTGAGCCAGCATATCTAATGGCTTCCATTGCAGTGTTATCTGTTCTGATCAATGGGTGTGAAATTAAGTTGTTTGTTCCTGATGTGATCTGGGTTTGTAAGAGTGGAAGTTGATCAGGATATAGAATGTGCTGTCCAGGGCATGTTTGTAATGTTAATTTTTTTTTTGTACCTAATGAAATGGGTTGCAAGTCTAAATATTTCTTTCTGTAGAAAATACTGCTGAGCTCTGCTCTTGGCTCTGTGCCTGCTGTGGTTCATACACTGAACTGGGAACAGGAAAGATTACCAGTTCCTCCTTATCCAGCATTATCGGTATTCAGTATTAGAGCTGCTGTTTCTTTTTCTTTCCAGAAATGTCCTTCCTACCTGACTTTGGCATCTTCACTATGGGCATGTGGTCGGTTGGTCTCGGAGCCGTCGGTGCAGCCATAACAGGGATTGTGCTTGCCAACACTGACTTCTTTTTGTCCAAGGCAGAAAAAGCAACACTAGAATTTTTGGAGGGGATAGAGCTAAAAACTTTGGGGTCAGGTAAGATTCTGGATGTTTGAGCTGTTGTTTGAGGAAAGAACCTCTATATGACCAAGGCTGGAAAAGCTGAAGAACAGTGAAGTGTGCATAGAAGGTTTAATTTTCCTGAATTGGAGATTATCTGTAGGGGATACAAGATTTCACGCAGACCACGTGAGGTGTCTAAAGAGTTTCTCTTAGTCTTTTCTAGTTTTAGGAATAGTTGAGTGTTCTTGATAGCAGATGATTCTGGTGAAGGAAAAGCAACCGGTATTTCTAGAAGGTCTATTTCAAATTATAATACAGTTGATGTGTATAATTTTCAGTATGTGTGAAGACACACACTGAAAAAATCAATAAAGCAAATAATACTCTGTTATATACATGGAAAACTTCTCTGAATTGTAGAATTAGAATTGTATTTGAATGTGGAATTCTCTGTGATGCTTTCAGTTGATATTTTTTTTCCTCTATAAACAGAGCCAAGAACATTCAAAGCAGGTGAACTGTGGAAGAAGAATGGTGCAGTGATCATGGCTGTGAGAAGACCTGGATGATTTTTGTGCAGAGAGGTACTTGTTGAACTTGGGGGCTAATTAGGATGAATTAAGTTCTACTTGTATGGATTCCCTTTGAATAAAGGGAAGAGGTGAGCAGGATAGTTATCATACACATCTGAAGCATCTGAAAGATACTAATCCTAGCACAAACTGGTTATTCGCTAACAGTGTACTAGTTTTAGTTTTCTTTGCAGCAGGTGTATAGATTGAGTCTTGAGTATTTTCCTTCTGAAGGTGATTAATGCTTTATTTTTACATCTGCCAGAGATCTAGCAGACAGTAATTAGAAATGGAGACTACCCAAAACTCAGTTATTTAGGAGTCTTAGGAGCTAGTCATAGAGATTTATTTTGGACGTATGGAATATGAGCCAGGTACGGTCTGGTCAAAAGCAATCAAAGATTGGACTGGCAGAAATCAGATAAAGCTCACCTGCAAAAAAACACGTCTGTGAAGGGGATTCCCTCACTAATCTGGATGCTGAATGGGCGCTGAATGGGAGTCAGGAAGGCAAAGATTGTGAAGGTAAGGAGAATGTGTTATGAAAACTCCCTGTTTCCTCACCAGCAGTCTATGTAGACTTGTACTGGTTGATAACAGGGTGGGTTGAGAAGCAGGATTTGATCTTTAAGCTGGCATTAGGCTTCTTGGGTGGAGGTGGAAAGTGACACTTAGAATGCAATTTGAATGTAAGATGTGCCTGGAAACAGTTGTAATGTACAACTTGGCTGTTATTTTTCTCATAGCTAGGGGGAAAAATAGCTATTATGTTCTTACTCGCTGCTCCATAAAATAGTAATTAATATTGTAACCACTTAATTAACGTATCTTCTGCCATCAGTAATATCTGCTTAAATATGTGTAGGAGTAATGGAAGATATTAAACTACTTTGTCCACTGAACAGGTGTCGTGTAGACAGAAGGAAAATGCCCTGCATGCCTGTTTCGATACAGTCAGACTGGAATTGAGTAAAGTTTTTTTTCAAAGCTATTTTCCTAAGTCGTAGTAAAAAACCCTTTTCTTTCAGGAAAAATTTGGGAAGGAAAGATTTAAATTTTCTGATTCTTGCTTTTGTTTCAAAATTTTGAATTATTAACAGAGGCAGTCACTGTATAGCTCAGCTAAATATGGCAAAGAATTATTTTGTATTTTAAATGCAAAAATGATTGAAATGCATTTTAAATTCTCTAAACTGAAGTTATTTTGGGTTGCTTTTTACCCAAAGCATTTTTATGAGTTGATGCTTGATTTTATCCAGGTAGAAAATTCTCTAACTCCAGTGTGGTGTTAAAAAGCTGACATTACTTTGTTCCTCACACCACGTACCAGGTGACTCAGTAAGTCAACTTCTCAGAGTTCATGGTCTACATTTAAACACTTAATGCATACATATGCAGTACATCAGCATGCATATTCATTCTTTTTTAAGAATTCATTAATGTATATTAATATCCCTCTGGGGGATGCACAGTTGCATCTAAGGTGGTCATAAGACCACCGTCTTCCTCCCCTTTATTTTTCCTTCAGCTTCAGTGCAGTGACTTTTGGCTGACCTGTAGCTGTTCTTCCACAATTTGGCAAATTTCCATTACTTTTTAATGCCATAATGAGCAACGTTCTGTCTTGATACACTACAGTTCAAAACAATTTATGTGGAACTCAAGAAATAAGTTTTTGCCCCTGGTGGGTGCAAAGATAAATCATAGAATTATAGAATGGCCTGGGTTGAAAAGGACCACAATGCTCATCTGGTTTCAACCCCCTGCTGTGTGCAGGGTTGCCAACCAGCAGACCAGGCTGCCCAGAGCCACATCCAGCCTGGCCATGAATGCCTCCAGGGATCCACAGCCTCTTTGGGCAACATCAAGTAGTCTTATTGTGAAGTACTTGTTTGAAACAGAGTCACTGAGAAAAACAAGGCTGTCCACATACCAGAAAAAGCTGGATTAGAAAGTTTTAGAACTAGCACACATTGATTCCTTATAATAAACTGATACATTGGTCTTTCAGCTGTTATTGATCCTTATTGCTAAGACATCCTTTATCACAGTTGGTTTCCGCTATCTTCTACTTTGGGAAGGAACTCCAACTTTGTTCTTGGTGACAGTGCCAAGAAGGAACATGTATGTGCCTGGACTCAGAGTTTATGTAATAGAGGAGCCTATTGCTCTAGACTGGAACATCATTTCTCAGACATGTAGACTGTTACATCCCAATACAAACTTGATTTGTTGATTATGAAAGTTTTGAACTGTATTAAAAAAAAAAAATCCAGACCAAAATAGCCATTAGCCACCCCCCTCCGCCCCATCCCATTGTTTTTTTAGGAAGAACATTAAGGCAGTTTGTTCAAGGAAGAACATAAAATAATTAGCAGATATTTATGAGCAGAAAAGAAAGGTGTGACAAGCCTAAGCAATGATCCTTTAAGCCTTACACTTTCCTACTTACTGTTTCCTTTTGATGTTGATTCATCCTTTTCATTTCCCCTGGAAAATATCAAGAGTAGTGAACTATAGTGCTGTGCTTACCCTTTCAGCTACTGATATCTTTCTCTAATGTCTTTTGTCTGTTTGCCCTATCTATGTACTTGTATTTCCTAAATTCTGGATAACCCACACCCACAAACCTTTGAGTTAAGGCATAGCACGTAGCTGACTGACAGTGTTCAAGCAAATGTCCTTTTTTTTTTCTTTAAACAAGTGTAGAGCTCTTTTGAGGACTTTTGTCCAATAAAAATGAATTATCTCAATTGGAGAAGCCTTGGAGACCTTTGTACAAGCTGTGGGAGCAGGGGTTTCTTCAGCAGAACAGAAAGGCAAGGAGATGAATGGCAATACATATGTATTTATACACCAGAAAAAGTAATAAAGCAATATTGCTTCTGAGATACTGAAAATGTATGAAGAAATTTCTTGTTCATTTTCACTGGGAAATCTAGGGAGGAGGGTGCGTTTTCACTCCATTACTTACTCTAGACTTATATATTATGTTCCTGCATTGAACACTCAAGTGCTTCACACAAAGCCTGACATCATTATGATACGTTTCTTTTTGGGAAAAGATGTGAGACCTAGGCCTGGGAAAGGTAGGTGATGTACAGGCAGGATCTTTTTACTGTTCTGTAAATGCTTAAAAAATAGTTGAAGCTGTGGCACAAGCAAAGGAAGCATAGAACTTGGAATTAACAGTGTGTTTTCTCTAGGATGTTATTATTTTTTCCAGAGAATGCTCCAAAAGTTTTCTTTATTTCTTAGTGAGGAAAATTGCAGTAAACTTAACGAAGACCGGCTTACAAATAGATCTTTAATGTCTAGCCTGCAGATGAGTCTCTATTTTGCACCTGAAGCTAGAATTTTTGTGTTTCAGATGCTCTAAAATTCAAGGTGAAGCTTTCTAACTTCTGTCTACTGCCTGAAATGTTCTTTTTTTGTTTCATAGGAGGCTTCTGAGCTTTCCTCTCTGAAACCTCAGCTGTCTAAGCTGGGTGTTCCTCTCTATGCTGTTGTAAAAGAGAAGATAGGGACCGAAGTTGAGGATTTTCAGCATTATTTCAAAGGAGAAATCTTCCTGGATGAAAAGGTATAATGAAATCACTGCTATTCTTCTTTTTTTTTTTTTTTTTCTTAATGCCAAGCTTATGGATGTCCTCTTTGAAGAGCTTGTATGATACACATAGAAAGTATTCTGAATGAAACGTTGTAGTTCAAGAAGTTTCCCTTCCTTGTATGGGAACTGCTGAGTCACGGCCTGAACCTCTGATTGATCACTTGAGGTGAGCCATGAGTCAGCCAGAGGAGAACAGGTGAAGGCAATTCAGCTGTGCTGCCAGAAGGGGTGGAGCCTCTCCTAGACCCTTTTAAGAGCTGGCTGCCAGTGGGGATGGATCTCATGTGGAGATCCACTCTGTGGGAGTTTTGTGAGTGAGCCCAGGGTACAGGTAAGCTTTCTATCTATTCCCTTTTTGTTATCGTAATCTGCTTTGCCAAACTCTCTTGTTTATTTTGTAATTATAACATCTTAATATTCATTGTTTACACACCTTCCTCTTTAACAGATGCAGTCTTTTAATATTAATTCTGTTCTTGCACTGTCCTTGTGACTTGCTGTTGTTAATAATGTATGAATCAAGGTCCGAAGGTAGAAGACAATTAGTTCAGCAAGTGCAGCTCTAATTACGATGTGGCTTATCCCATTATCATAGAATGCCATAGAATGGCCTGGGTTGAAAAGGACCACAATGATCATCTGGTTCCAACCCCCTGCTATGTGCAGGGTCACCAACCAGCAGACCAGGCTGCCCAGAGCCACATCCAGCCTGGCCTTGAATGCCTCCAGGGATGGGGCATCCACAGCATCCTTGGGCAACCTGTTCCAGTGCCTGCGTGGAAAACACCCCCTGTGTGGAAAAACTTTCTCCTGATATCTAACCTAAACCTGCCCTGTCTCAGTTACATAGGCTGTATGACTGTATTGCCAGTTTAATGTCCTGCAAAACTACAGACCTGCTTACTTCTTAATACAGAGGACACATTTGGAAATCATTTGGCTTCTGAAAGAAATATTCAAAACCGATGAAAAGATGCCTTTATTTACCATTCTCACTCTGTCTGTTTAAAGGAAACTGATTAAAAAAAAAGAGTTGATGAAATTTTAGGACTTCAGCACCTATTTAAACAGCACTTTTATTGCTGTAGTTCAAAAATGAGGAAAAAATGCACATATCATCAAGTGCTCTTTGTTCTCAACAGTGTTGATGTAGACGATTGTGCTTAAATAGCTGTGGATCATAGTTCAAAAGACACACAAAGGGAGGCAGTAATCCTAGTTGGCTGTGTGGAAGTAAACGGTCATGTGGTGTGTAAGAAATTAGTTCAGGTGCAATTTCTTTACAGCTCTGCCTGTTCATCTTTTCTATTTACGGTCCTTTTTGGATACAGGGTTGTAACGTTTTCTGAATTTAATTTGGGAGGAGAAGTCCTTTTCACTTTGCTGTTTTCTGTTTAATTGCAGAGAAGCTTCTATGGCCCACGCAAACGAAAAATGATGCTGTCAGGCTTCTTCCGCATTGGAGTCTGGCAGAATTTCTTCCGTGCTTGGAAAAATGGTTATAGTGGTAACCTGGAAGGAGAAGGGTTCACTCTGGGAGGAGTATATGTGATTGGAGCAGGAAGACAGGTAACTGCAAACCTGCTGGCAGGTTTCTCTTTTGTAATTACTCATTTGCTTATCAGCTGATCTCCTTTGAGGAGCCTGGGATTATTGTATGATTTTTTTTGTGTGTGTGTTTGTGTTTATATAGGGTATTCTATTGGAGCATCGTGAGAAAGAATTTGGTGACAAAGTCAGCCTTCCATCTGTCCTTGAAGCTGCTGAGAAGATACAGCCACAGGTTTCATCAGCTGAAAAATAGTTGCATGTTTTTCTGATCACAGCTTGAAATGTAGAACATATCTGTTTCTTGAATGTGCAATTTAATTGCTTCTTAACTATTTAGTGATCAGTGCCGAAGAAAGGTTCTCTTTTCAAATGTAGTAACTGATGAAAACCCTTTCAGATTTTTTGCGGCTTTGCTGTCTTTCAGGTGGTCAGAGTTTCAGCTGACTTTTTGTGTCTGACTGTATTAATGAAAGGCTGGGTCTAAAATCTGACGTAGCCTAGATGTTTTCAGTCAGAGACAGTTGGTTGAAAGCCTGTCTACCTAGGGGAGCAAAACCTTGCTAAACCTGGAGAAATTAACCTAAGGTTGAAGGGTAATAAAATTTTATGTGGATGAAATGTCTTCACTTTTTTTTTTTTTTTTTTTTTTTTTGCTCCTTAACACATAAACACATTTGTATTTCTAAGAAATCATCTGGTCCAATTCCTGGCTCTACGCAGAACCACCCAAAATTCAAACTCTACGTCTGGAGGCATTATTTAAGTGCTGCTTGAACTCCAGCAGTTTGGTGTCCTGATGACTTCCCTGGGAGTCTGTTCCAGTTTCTGACCACCCTCTTGGTGAAGATCTTTTTCCTCATATACAACCTGAGCCTTCCCTGATGCAGCTTCGTGCCATTCCCTCAGGTCCTAAATCTTGTCAGTCTAGATTAGTCAATCCTGACAAAATCCTGTCAGTCTAGATAATTCAGAGATTCCGCATTCAAGACATTCTGTTGTATTTTGAATAACTACCACATCTACTCAAGTGAGTTTCTTGTTAATTAAAGGTTCTGAGAATTCCAGCTGTTTGTGTGATTGCCTGCAAGGAAGATAGAAGACATCTAATGTTCTCTCTAGAAGATAACTGTGATATGAGAGCGAGTTCCTTTTTGTGTTTGTGATTCTAAAAAATGGGAAGCAGTATGAAAAAAACAGACTGTGTAGAGCTTCCATTTCTAAATGTTCTGCATCAAGTGTCCTAGAATATCCTTAACCAGCTGGCATATGTATGAAATAACTTTGGGAGGGGGAGAAAAAATGTGGGCTGGAACATGATGAGATAGCAAAATAATTAAACAACTAATGTTTTGTCCTGGCAGGATAAAATTCATACCTGTCATTCTACTCTTTTGGCCTTAAAATTTATGAAACTTTGCTGCATCATTGATACTGAGGGCAGGGATTCTTTGTACCTCTGAAACTTTGGTAATAAGCCTGTTATTGTTATTTTTGGTATTAGTATGGTATATATTAGTATTAGTATGACCATATGTATGGTCGTGCATGGTGATGACTATATGAAAACTAAAAGCCTAAACTTCACAAGCACTGAAGAGTGGTATTGATTTGTGTTAAATCAGTTGTGCAAGTTCTGCAGTTGTGTCATTATGGGTAAAATCCTGACTTAAAACGTCTAAACAGACCTAATTTTAACTAATATGCACTCTTCATAGTTTTTTGTTCACTGTTGCCTGAAACAGCACTAGCATTGAGGGTTTTGGGACAAAATCTATATTCATCTGTGTCTTCTTCCATGTTTGTTTCACAAAATCTAGTTAGATGTTTATGCGCATGTTCTCAGTTGTACTGACTGCCTTGGTTAGTTTAGGTGCTTGAATAAAATAAGTGTCCTGGTGTTGTATGAAGGTGTTTAGGTTAAAAGCAAAAAGTGTTAGTATGGGGTTCTTAGTTTTTAGGTTTTCAGAACCTGATGCTTGTGATGGTGTTAAGGAGTTGAGACACTAAATGACAGAGTGGAGATGGGCTCCAATGGAATCCATAGCAGCCAGAGAACTGCCATGAGTTTGCCCCAAGAAGAAAAGAATTCTCTGAAGGCTCTTTGTCCTGTTTTTGTATTGTTTTAAGAAAGTACCCATAACGTGAGTGCTCACCTAACAGTTGTCTTTGACACAGGCATGTTATTTGGCGCGCAGGTGGTAGGAAACACAAAAGAGATGATGGAAGAAATACCTGAGAGCTGCTGTTCCTTACCGTGCAAGATGCTACTAATAAAAAGGAACTTACAACAGGAGCAGACTTCTGCATTTACTGAGTTTTGAGTTGTGCTTTACTTGCACTGGGAATGGGAGGCTTTGTCTTTTGCAGAGGACAGATGCTGCAAAAAGACAGGCAAGCAAGTACTGAGCTCAGAGATCTGGATTTCAGGCCTTGTTCCAGTGGCTGTTTACACATTTTACGTAAACACAAAATGTGAAATACGTAAACAGTCCTTGGAGTATGGGCTGGAAGACAGATAAATTCCAAGAAATGTCATGTCAAGTACTTCAGAACTCGCTAAGCCATGCACTTGAAGTTTTGTTGGATGTGCAGTTGAATTTCACCCTTTCTGGCTGAGTTTGCCTATGGTTCTTTTGAGTCAAAGTCCCGAAGGTCTCTTATGAGATAAAAGCCACTGTGTTGCAGCCCTGCTGTTATTCTAACAAAAAGGCTATTGTTTTGTGGCCCTGGAAATCGAGTCAGGAAACAACTAGGTCTAGCATTTAGAACATTTTGTTAAAGGGTAATGGCTGTTAAGTATGTACGTCACTAATGCAATAACATGATGAAGCGTACACTTAAGCATAGAAATGGTTTTAGAACTGCAAGTTCTCTCTGCTCCATCAGCAAAGGCATGCATACAGTAACTATGTGAGACCTCCAAATATGGGAGTGTGCCTTTTGTCACTGTTAACAGCAGCAGTTCGTGTAAACAGCTGAAGGAACAGTGTTCTTCTGGATTTGAAAGGTATATACATTTACTCACATGTCAAAATTCTTTAATCACATCTTTCAGAGGTCAGCATAAATTTGGAGATACAAAAAGTACAAATGATGTTTGAAAAAGTGGAGAATTAGTGATTAAACTTTTTTTTAGTAAGCCAGCCTCGGGATTATTTGGAGTTGCCTCGTTCTTTCCGAACTCCACGTTGACAGAATACAAATGCAGAGGAGGGAAGATACGTGGTGCCTTGGAGCAGTTAGTAAGGCTATGAAAAGGGCAGTCTCAAGGAAAATAAAGGCGCAGAGAACGGCAAGGGAGGAGCCGTTCAATTGCAGGTGAATTCCCAGTGACAGGTACTGTTCAAGGTCTGAATGCCTGGTTTAAGAAAATGTTTTCTTCTGTAAGTGTTGATTAAAAAATAGTATTTTTAACGTTGTTGATTTTGTTGTGTCAACAGCTACCTCTGCTGGCCCTGTTCCTCACTCACATTTAAAGCTTTGATGTTTTCTTCATTTAACACAAGTATACAGTAAGTCTTTTGTCAGTGCACCAAATACAAAATCACAATTGAACACTCAGTTGCTTACTGGAAATTCTAATGCTGGGAGCACTAATAATTGGAAACTTTCTTATTCTGGGTTTGAACAATAAAACTCTCCTGTAGTATTTTCTTTTCAATTACCTTTCTCTTGTTTCTTTGAAAGCCTGCCATTCATTTTTTCATTTGGTACAGAAATAAGGTTAGGATAAAAAACCTTTTTAAAAAAGGAATATTCTGTGAAGCCGGGGGGGGAGGGGTAGGTGTCATACAGGTAAGTGCTTTTTACCTTAAAAGATGCCTTTGTAAAACTTTAAAATGTATCAATGGTGTTTCCTGACTTTGGTGTTCTTTTAAATCCATGAGAATGATGATTTGCCTCATAGGGTGTTTTCTGTTTGTTTCCTGTTCTGCATTTTTGTTTCCCTGTGTGTGTTGTCCATTCCCACGGCTGTCAGATGCCTGTAATTGGTGCCATTTGCAAATATACACAACCAGAATGGAACGCCAAAGGATCACTGCCATTTTTTTTTCTGATGTGTTTCCTGAGATGCACTCTGACAGAAATAAAAGAATGAGAAAGCTCTTTTTATTCCCCAGCCGCTGGATGTCACTGCTTCCGTAGCCAAAGTGAAGGTCAGAAGAAAACCCGATTTTTTTTTTTTTTTTCCTGCAGTAAAAGATTTGCATAACAAAGGCGCTAGAAACAGAGCACTGTAGGTCTCGATTAGTCTAGAAGAAAGCCGTGGGGAAAGACATTTATTTTGCGATATTTTTCCTTGTGTGAACCTTTAAGCTTTTTAAAATGATAAAGGAAAGCTATACTATATTGAATGATAGAGTCTGCGGCATATAAATGTTTCCAAATGAGTGCGGAGGGGATGAATTATTAACAGACTCGCTATAATCCTCACCAGTATTTCATGTTTTACTGATATTAATTCTAGACACCGCCGGTGTGCGAAGGGCTTCTCAGTGGTGCAGAAGAGGTACAGAATCCGCTGCTACCAGCAGAGGGCGCTGAGAAAACGGAGAACACGCTGTGGCGAAACGACGAACGAAGTTAAATCACCAGTTTGGTCTGACCACGCTAAATTATATGTGATATCTAAAAAATACCGCCCACATTCATTCTTTTTTTTTTTTTTTTTTTTTTTTTCCTAACTGATCTCAGAAATCTTCTAAAGGTTTTCACCAAAATATTTTAACTAATCTTTTAGGTCCAGCTGCTGATTTCCCAGCACTTTAAGCCTCTCAGTAGATTCTGATCCCCACGCTCCTCTCTCTTAACCTCATAATTATCAAAATCATGTGTTAGTTCCAAATTTAACACCCACTCCCGGAAGCTTTCCTATAAAAATAGGAATTTATTCCACTGAAAATTTAAGCAGCTGGGAATGATAAAGCTGATGGCATACAGTGGAATTGGTGAATAGCTCTGGCCTTACTATTTTCCACCACCATGGAATAATGCCATAATGCGTTAATCATTAATTTCGGGATATGCTCTGTAGTGGCTAGGGAAAGCTGCACTAGCAAATCATTCATGATTGTGCCTGCAAAGTTAAGTGAAAGATCAGGTTTTTCTATTTTTATTCCTGTAGTGCTATTACACCCTCTTACTGCTGAAGTCTTTTAGAAGGCTATCAGTTTTCTCTTGTGCTTAGTTAGCATGTCTGCGAAGGATGAGATGTTTGCCCTAATTTTCTTGGCAACACAGTGAAGCACAAAGAGCAGACATAATGCCAAAAGCTAATAAATTGCACATAGAGAGATTGTTTGAAATGTCTCCACGCTGACAGTCAATTTGGTTAATTTGACTATGCTGCAACCACTGACCATTTTGCAAAGTGATCCTTGCAAGTGATCCTTGTTTCTATTGATAGGAATCCCCTTCTTCTGTTCACAGCGCTTAGTTCCTAAAGCTGCTCCCTCTGCTGCTGAACCTTAACAGTTACTATTGCCTATTGTGTTCCAAGTGATAAACATAATAATGAACACTGCTTTGGCTGTGGACTTTACCAAAAACATGGCTCAGCGCTCAGCAAAAGGTGACTGGAGTAGCTTCTGAGATGAGGAAGGGATCTCTTCTAGCTATGATAATCTATTGACCTCTCTTATCTGCCCCTCCTCATTTAGATCGTCCCTAAGATACAAGTGATCTTTCTTCAAGCATCATCTTTCAGCTTTACCAATCAATTCAATTTTATTCTGCTTCCTAAGAATCCTAAGCCACTATCATGCAATGATCTATAGGTGCATCTGCAGAACTAGAGATGTCTTTATCCACTCCCAGATGGGAGCCCTGAAGCGTGATCTATCTGAGGGCCAGGATAGCTGAGCCTAGCTAAGGCTCTCCAAGTGCTCAGCCTTTCCTGCCTTTGGCTTAAGCCAGCAGTCACAGTATTGGCACCTAAGGCATTCACAAATGCAATCTGTTGCATTTGTGAGAATTCAGGCTTTGAAGTCAGGAATAAAACATTCACATTAACATTTCTTTGAACAACTGCACGCAGAGGGTAAGAAGAAATCCCATTGAAAGGATGTGCAGAGGGCTGTGATGCGCTCACTGGTGTGCCTGTCCTCTCACGTTTCAGACAGAGCTCTGTGTCTATCCTTACTAACTCCAGCACAGTACCAGATCTTGGCCTTGACCTAGAAGCATCACATGAGAAAAGCATCAAACGTAAGCAGTGTATTTGTACAAATTTGTACAAACTTTCCTTTCATCCTTTAGCTGAATTGCTGCCATCTCCATGCGGAATGCTTACTGCTGATCTGGAGGAATAAGGCAGTCCCAAACTCTAGGCCCTGAAGCACGCAAAGAAGTGCAGAGAATACAAGGGCTGTAGTAATACCTCTGGACTTGAACCATCCTCTTTTCCCTCGCCTTTCTGCACATCAGTGTGTTTCTCTAGTTTGTGAGGTGCTGAGGAAGACAGCAAAGGTGGCACAGACCTTTTCTTGTGCCAAGAGTGATCTTAAAGCATGGAGAACAGCAGAAGTGTGTGGAAGAGCTAAGCTTGAAACTGGGGTACAAAGAGCTGCTGCAGAGGTCTGCAAACAAAGAGCTCTCTGCCTTTGTTTCCCATCCCCATCCTCAGCTTTCCGGCTGTTGTTCAGCACATGCCCTCCCTCACATCCAGCTGACTTCCTGAAGCCCTTTCACAAAGCAGGCCTTAGTGTTTTTCATCTGTGCAGGCGTGATACGGAGACTAAAAGCGCCTTTCTCTCAGAATTTGGAAGGACAGGATGGAAAATGCAGACTGGGCAGGAAAAGCTGAGATAAGCAGCTGTGGTGCCTGAAGAGGGCTGCACTGGAGGACAGGCACGCGAAGCCAGGGGGTGACTGCCTCAGCTGCGAGCTCCCACTTGCTCACAACATAAGTTGAAAACCATCAGGCAGCCACTTAATACTCAGTTCTGAGGGTCTCACCTGGGGCCCTGGGATACTTGGAGACTCAAAGTACAATTTAGAATTTTATTTATTCATTTTTTCCTTCATCTTGGGGTTTTCTAGGAAATGCTCAGGTTATGCCTTCGAGGTTACCTCAGAATTGCTCTGTGCTCATTCTCATCATGGAAGTCAGAGGGGTGTTGGAGAAAGTGAGGTTGCTCAGCTCAGCTACCTGCCCTGTTAGCTGCCACCAGCGACCTGAACCGTTCCTCTGTAGGGTGCGAGTACAGTTATCCGCAAAACCCGTCTAAAGCAGTAACGACAGCAGTCAAGCTGAGCACGGGCTTCCACCAGCTGATCAGCGCAGCAGGGCTGCGAAGCTGCCGCTCCCCACGCTGGGGTGGGGCTGCTGGAACTCACCGCCCCACCCGGCCCCGAGGGCACCCCGGCAGCGTAGGGACAGCTGGAGGGATCAGGGATCTCAGGGTGGGAGGAGAGCGTCGCTGCTGCGCGTCTCCTTTGTGTGCAGCGGCTGCGTGCCCGGGCGCGAGGCGTGGCCTGGCGGTGCATTTCCGCGCTGCTCGGCACCCGGCAGCTCGCGGGGCGAGTTGGAGCTTTGTGAGGGTACGGGTGGGTGTTGGGTTTGGGGGTGGTTTGGTTGTACTCATGGACTAGCCGAGACGGTGAAAGGACTCCGGAGCGTGCTGAACGTCGCCTCGTTGTCCTTGTAACTTAGCGAAACTTGGCGAGCAGCTGCCGCCCGGGTGAGTCCGAGCCCCGACCGGGGCAGCGCCGCGTCCTGTGGTTGCCGCCCTCTCTCGGTTTTCCTTTAGAATTCCGGCATTTTGTGCCTTGGGAGCGCCAGTGCGCGGCTCCCCCGCCTCCGGGAGCGGGCAGCCATTTCCCCGGGCGCGCGCAGGGCGGGGGGGTTCAGGAGCGCCCGAGGTGCGGAGCGCTGCTTTGTCCTTGCCGTGCCGCCGGGTTCCCTCGGGGCGCCGCGCGGGGCTGTCGGTGCGGGCGGGGCGCCGGGAGCCGGCAGAGCTTCGCAGGTGGGCACGGGGCCCGGGTCGGCGCGGGGCCGAATGCCTCAAGGTCACTGCTGCCTTTTTAGGCATTTACCTGCCTTTTTAGGGAGAACTGGCTGGGTGCTGTGCAGAAAGCAAAACCTACGCTGTTCCATCTGCTTCGCTTCCTTGCCGACCTTTCTTCTCTGTGTGTGCATCGAGCTACAGCTGTGCACTTTCAGAGTGCCTGCGTGTAGCTAAGTGTGTAGCCAAGTGCACCTCGTGCTCTTTTTATTCATAGCTTCATTTGGAACCTTTCTGAATCATAATTTGAACAGTGTAAGTACATACGTTATTTCTGTTGGGTTTTACTTCTTCAGTGGGTGGTGGGGAGGATATTTTAAAGTATTTGGATAGTGATAGTACAAGGGGGAAGGGTCTTAAACTGAGCCAGGGGAGGTTTAGGTGGGATCTTAGGAGGAAGTTTTTCACCCACAAGGTGGTGAGGTACTGGAACAGGTTGCCCAAGGATGCTGTGGATGCCCCATCCCTGGAGGCATTCAAGGCCAGGCTGGATGTGGCTCTGGGCAGCCTGGTCTGGTGGTTGGTAACTCTGCACACAGCAGGGGAGTTGAAGCTGGATGATCATTGTGGTCCTTTTCAACCCAGGCCGTCCTATGATTTGGCAGTATCTGATTTTTCCAGTGTTGTTTTTTGTTTTGGTTTGGCTTTTGGTTTCCTCTTTTCCTCAAAGGTCATAACACTTGTGACCCCTTGGACAACGCAGAAGCCTTTGGAGGATGAAAAGATATGCCCTGTATCTTGTTGATAAGTGCTCAGTGGGGTGATGTGCTTCCCTCACTGATGGAGGAAAGATAAACGTGACTTCCTGAGCAACTTTATGCTAGCGTGTATGTGTGAGACTGTAGGTAATTGAGGTAGCGGTGGTTATTTGAGATAGCAGCACTCTGCTCCATAGAGATTTTGTGTGGAAGGGTGGTCAGGTATGAATTCTGGGCTAGGGATTGGTATGAAATAGAAATGAACTATTGGGGAAAGCTGTTTTGCAGCTTTTGTGCATTTCTTAAACAAATTCGGTCACCTGTGTTTTTGGAATGGGACTCTTTATCCACCAGCCATTGACACAGGAAGAGAGTGCTTGGGGGGTAAGGAGCTGAACACCTGAATATGAACATAGTGAAATTGCCTATCCTTAGAAAACTTCTATGATCAAAATTACACTACCACTAAAACAGTGGACTTCAGAAATGACATCCCAGAAGTTTGGAAATGCATCTGCTGAGAAACTATGTGTATGTTCATTACGTGGCTGGTTTGTTTTTTTTGGTTTTTGTTGGGTTTTTTTTTGTTTTTTTTTTTTTTTGCTTGTTTTAGTCAATGGTTTCACTCTTGGGTTGGCAAGGCCTCACTAAAGGATAGGATCTAAAAATAAATCAAAGTCACTGAAAGCTGATATTCTTTGTCTAGTTGGTGTTCTTTTCATCTTTACTCAGTGTGAACTGATGCAATTTGGTTCCTCTGTGTTCAATTGTTATCTCCACTCTCCTCATTGAGTAAGGAGACTAAATCAGAAGAAGCCTCAATTCTTATCTTTGGGCATTAGTACAAGTTTTACTTGGCATTTAGTGCTTGTGAAATAATTTATCTTATGCTGCTTTCCTGTTTCAAACCTCTTTCCTTTCCTCCCTGACCCCTTAGAAGAAAATAATATAAAAAAAAATCTTTTGTGAGTGCTGTGTTAGGAGCAGCGTAGCTGCCAGATATGTTCTTGCTTAACTGAACTACATTATGCTCTGAGCTACATTTTGCCAGATTTAGGTATGATGTGTATGATGGTTGTGAATTCTCTCTCTCTAGCCCTGAAATTCAGCCAAGTGAGGGCACTTGCTTGGTGTTGTAGTTTTACTCTTAGATTATAGAAGAATTATTGACACGGTGTGCTGTGAGCTTTTCATGTCTGAATGCAAGCATGTAGGTAGTCTTTGAAGTTAGCCTGCATCTAACTTCTTCCAGTGAGTAACTGAGGAATGTGCTTTTTGATCTTGTTCAGTATCTCGTGTCTTGAGGCTGACCTTGATTTTTCTCTGAAGGTAGTTAGATTTGGTTTATTAAGTTGTGCTGTGTGGCTGTAAGTCAACTGCTACCAGTAAATGGGTGTAGTGCTGACAGACTTGTGAGAAGAGTAATAGTGTTAACTGGACAAGTTTCTCATTGTGTTTTAGGTGTGGTTTGAGCAGTGCTGAACATGAGTAAATGGTGTGCTTGCTAACTATTAGAAATTCCATTCAAGTGTGTATGGGGGAAGTGGAGTTCACAGAGCTATTGTCAAAGCTGCTTATACAGATCCTCACTCTAAGTGATTTCTCAGCTTTTGCGCGCGCACACACACACACATACACTTGAATGGTGTATGGCAAAATGTGGGCTTCAGGAACAAGAAAAGAGATGCTTATGCCTATTTTACATGTGATCCAAGAATGTTTTTAGTTGCAGGCTTTTTGTGCCATGCTGCCTCGCACTGTGGTTTCCTGGGTCAAAACTTCCCAGTTCTGGTAAAAGGGGCCTCTGTACTTCAGCATTCGTGGCATATTTTAAAAGTTGCTAACAGGCTGTAATTCACAAAATCCATGAATATACTGTGACTGTCGTGTCCCTTGCCTGAAATAAGGAACTAAACACCCAAACAAGGATTTTCTTTAGTTTGGGGGTAGTTATTGCAGAAAGTTGCTGTGGGGAACAGCAGCTAAAGGAATCCAAAGCAGGCGTCTTCCTTGCTAGTGTTACAAGCCCTAAAGCCTAGGGCTCTTCTAGAGATGTGTTGTTAGCTTGTTTGAGGGGTCTGATGCAACCTTCCAGCCTCTAGTTCTGGATCAGCATCTTTCTCCTTGGCCTTTTGACTTGTGCTAAGCTGAAAGCTTCCAGTAAGGAAAAGGTGAAGAACCATGTCAGATATCTTGAGAGTGAAGCTAATCAAGGTTTGTGATGTATGGGTTATAGTTTGATAATTTGAGCCTCATAAAATTACTGAAATCTGATTTTCCCCTCAGGAAATGAAGGTGGGGGGAAAAAAAAAAAAAAGAAAAAAAAAAAACCTAAAGCATTCTGGCTTCTCACAGCTTCATTTTGAAACAGTTTTAATTAAATGTGATTGTAGGTCTTGTGCTTTAATTATTTTGCTTTGTAAGTGAGCTTCTCTGTATGCCTGAACAAAGCCTGTCTTCAGTATGGCCAGTGAGCTGAAAAATTGTTGTTAATTCTGCTGGTTTAAGTGTGACACAGCGGAAGGTTTAACTTGTAGAAAGTAGTGATACTCAAAAGTTGTCGGGATGAGGGATGCTGCTGTTTGCAGCTGAAACCACTTGGTTGGAATGGCCAGGCTCCTTCTGGCCTCGCTTACTAGTCTGACCCAACTCTAGGAAATGAAGCCTGTCTTTGAGGGAGCAGAGCTGTTGTTCTGCCCAATTGTTCACCCTTCTGTTCTCGTATGATGCAGAGAGCTTAGAGTGATGGAAAATAAAACAGGCTGAGTGTGTGAGGAAATGCATCCAAACTTGGGCTGCTTTGCAGGATAGTTAGTTTTCCTATGTGGTTCAAATGATGCCTCAGCACCTGTTGGTAAGGAGGCACCAGCACTTGCTTTTACTTTAATGTTTCCTGTCTCTTGTCCTTTTGGGGAGCAAGAGAACAGTAGTTTCTCTTTCCTTGCAGTGAGTCTTACATATGATGGCTGAATTTCCGCTCTTACTCAGAGAGTCTGCTTACATATTTTTCTTCCTGAGAACTGTTTCTGCGTCATTGTCTTTACTAACTCCATACAAAAGCTAAAAGAAAGCTTGATGGCAGTCTTTGTTGTTAATCTGAATCTGAACATCAAAGAGAAGGGTGTATGTAATACGTGTAGATGTTGTTGTTGAGCATTGTCCTGGTTTTGATAGCAGCTGTATGCCCTCTGTCAGGTACTTCTGACAAGCTGAGCAAGTGGTCTTCCCTCTGAAGACTTGTACTGAAGCTCAAGGGAGCTTGGTCTCTTCCTTTGGCCCTAATAGGCTCACGCATTTTCTGAGCATGCTGGTGAGCTTTTGGCTCGCTTTTGTGGGTTTTTTTCTTCTTTTTTTTTTGGCTTAATTGTTTCAGACAGCTTAGTAGTGTACCAAGCCTACTGTGTTTCTGTGTCCCCAAGTCACTTTCCACTCATCTTTTCGCTGTTTTAAAGGCTTATGTTCTGTAGCTGAAAGACTAAATGTTTGGTATCTCTTTCTCTCTGGGAAGATGCAGCTGCAGGAAGCAGGGTGGGGTACGGTGTGCAGAGGCAGCTGAATGCTGTGTGTATCAGTATTTCTGAAAGTCTTTTGTTCTGCTTAGCAGGAGCTGTCTGCTCTTGCTTTGGGTTATAAAACTGATGCTGCTGCATAAATTTTGACGTCTGGGAACCTCTGGAATAGAGGATAAATAGAGTAGCCTGAACTTGCTTCCGAAGGAAGACATCAGAGATGCAAGCAACCAAAATGCAACATGAGAGCAAGATTCTGAATGTTGGAATATGGAGCTGATTCTCTTGATACTCTTTTCCTCTCAATCGTTTGTTATTAAATGGTGTTAGTGTTATATGAGAAGGGAATGCAGGGATTGAAAACTGTATTTAATAAAGGATTAAAATAAAAAAAGCTTTCTTTCCTGCTTATTAAGTTAATCTAGTAAGTTTGTGGCCAGCCTGGAGAGGAAGAAGGTTCACTTAAAAAGTTAGGTGACTTGAAACAAATGGATAGGGAGTTGGTGAGGTGACCCTCAGAAGACAGTGAGGTGACTTTGCAAAATGCACAGCATGTTGAGATGGTGTAGGGTATTTTGACAGCGTGGTCATAGCAGTGATTAATTCTGCAGAGCAGGAGGGAATTCAGCTGTAAGATTTGCCCATCTAAGATGAATGGGCAGGGAAGATATCTTTGAGCTCTGGTTTGTTTGCTTTTTTCCCCCCTCTGTTCTCTGCTGCTTGTGTAACCAATGATACTGTCAGCATGTTAAGATGGCAGTTTCCTGTGTTACAGTTTTTTTTTCTTTCCTCAGAGGTATTTATTTTCTCCTCTGATTAAAGGTGCAGATGGGACTGTTTCTGTCCCACCTCAGTGCCTGTGGATTCTGCTGGGTGCCTTTGCTGTTTGCTGCTGCAGAGACCAATGTCTTTGTGTGCAGCATTGCTGCCTGTCCTGCACTGCTGTGATTTGCTGCACTGTGTTGTTGTTGATGCGCCCTGCACGAGGTGGACAGCTTGTTTTTCTCCTTTACCTTGGGGAGGATGTGAGCCTTCCAGTAAAACAACG